CCTAGAATTAGACCCAAAACCTATTTACAAATCAAAAATACAATAATCCTCTGAATGATTAACACTCTCCTGATTGAAAACAGAGAACATTTGACAAAGACAGACGAAAACTTGCGATAAACAATGTTTTTAACTTTTTGGTCACAAAATAAACAAAACGCCGTGACACTCACTCACTCGTCGAGCTGCCACTAGCTATGTGCGATGATTACCTCCTCCTACCACTCCTTCTTTTCGCTATTTGATACTCCCGCGTAAGGTGAATAGTTTCCGAGATATTTCGATTGCCCAACTTGCCCCTATGCTCAACTAGCCCCGCTCTACCCTACTTGTATTTAGAAAGTGGTTATTTAATTGTGATTAACCTATAGAATAATCATATTAGTGGCGCTAAAACTCTATATTATGAGTCCTGGTCTCGTTTGTGTATCTTTTTCATAGATCAGACAGACAGAAGACAGATCAACTAGATCTGACACGTGTCGTGGTTTTTCAGATTCCTCACGACGTTTCCTACTTGAGCGTGTCAAATGGGCACAAAATAGTCTATTGGTGCACGGCCGAGGATAGAACATAAGGGATGAGAGTCGCACGCTGAAGCCACTAGGGCAACACTGCTATTGAATACAACTAACCTATAAAACATTTGCTCTGGAAATGTGGTGTTGGAGGCGGGGATGCTCAGCATTCCCTGGACAGCTAAGGGAACAAACGTGTCCATACTAAGACATGTAACACGTAGAGATCCAGAAAGCCTAGAAAAACTCATCGTGACTGGCAGAGGGCACCAGACCTCGACACTGATCGCCTACTCGCTGGACCGTCAACTAAGGCCATTACGGGTGTCGTCACCGAGGCGCTCTGTGCTTGCCGAAGACAGGGGAGAGTGATGGAAGTAGTGCGGCGCCAATAATACGACCTTCAGAAATGAAGAGTGCTACTGAAGAAGATAGAATATGTAACGTAAAATATGTTGGTTGGTTGGTTTGTGGACTCGTTTTCCGCACTTAGACGCTCACTAGGTCCGTTGTACGTGAGCCCTGGCTAACTAAGCCAGCCTAACTCCTTCCAGAAGCACAGAAGCTTCCTGGGTACTTCGCAGGCTTCACGGAGCGACCTCACTGTTCCGAGGATTTCTGTACGTTGTTTAGCCACAGCCTCGCATTCCAGGACTACGTGGGTAACTGTTTCCTCTGCGTTGAAACAGCCTCTGCACATGGGGCTGTCTGTCGCGCCTAGGACATAAAGGTGTTTATTAAGGAGGCAATGGCCCGTAATTGTCCCTATCATTATTTTGAGGTTATTTCTGGTTAGATTTAAAAGTTGCTTAGTCATTCTTGTGTTAGCCACTGGCAGAACCATTTTGGATTGCCTGCAGTCCACACTTGATGACCAACGTTGGTGCTGAAGTTCCTCAGATCTCTGGCGAATCCATTTTCGCACTTGCGAGAAGGGCAAAGGTAGGAGCGGATACGGGCCAGCGGGCAACATTTCCGAGCCTCTCCTCGCAAGCTCATCGGCTGCATCATTGCCGAGAGATCCACTATGTCCCTTAATCCACTGTAGGGTAACTCTGTTTGTCAGGGCGATTGCCTCCAGTGCATTGTGACACTCCAGCACCAGTTTGCTGTTTGTCGTGTTACCCCCCAACGCCATCAGCACAGAGGCGCTATCGGAACGTAAAATATGTTATACAAATGATTATATATTTTCATCACTTTCATAGTTCTTATTTTAAACTATAAATATATCCATGAGGAAAGAGATTCGCGTGCTTGCATGCGTGACCGTTATGATCAGAATAAATTTTATTTTAATTCGGCAAAGTATATTTTACTATGGAGAGAGTTAATCTACAATACTTTCCGTAATTAACTATAGTGAACTTAAGCTCATAATATTAATAAATCGTTTATTTGAAAAGAAACTGGTACATTCAAATTGATTAATTATAAAAAAACCGCACAATCAGTATTAGGTAGGTACTTAATAAAAACGTCATCGGCTGTTACGAATATCGGTTTTTACGACCAAATATGAGTAGTCCCTTCGATGTCGTTTGAACATATTTTGACTGTTATAAAATTAAAATTACTGTTTAAATAAATTTATATGGTTATAACTTTTCATATTTTCTAAATTAAATATTGATATAAAATCTTTATCGTTATCGGACATCCTGTGTATTTTTAACTCATATGGGAAAACATGTTTGCTATTTCGATTGGCAATTGCAAGGACATAATATAGATAATAATATCCCTTCTCCCGCCTTCGGGGTCTTTCCCCGTTTAAAAATAAATCATGCCAATTCCGCATAATTACAAATTTGTTTAATTATAAAATAAAAATAAACTGTACACTACAAGCGCTACAACCTGTTTAGGTCTGGGCCTCAGATTTCTGAATCTGTTTCATGACCATTTTCCATATAATAGGCAAGTAGCCAGTAGGTGATAGACCTCCTGTGCCTAACACACACCGTCATCTTTTTGGGTTAGACATGTCGGTTTCCTCACGATGTTTTCTTTTACCGTTCGAGCGAAAATTAAATGCGCACATAGAAAGAAAGTCCATCGGTGCACAGCCGGGGATCGAACCTACGACCTCAGGGATTAGAGTCACACGCTTAAGCCACAAGGCCAACACTGCTCAATTAATTATAAACTACTTGAAACAATATATGTAAGTTTTGTATAGCTTTTGTAAAACATGAGCAAATAGTATTGGTACAGGAACTCGCATGTGCCTGTTAACCCCGAGGTCGTGAAGGTCCAATCACCGCTGTGCATCAATGGATTTTTCTTACTATTTGTGCCTTTAACACTCCCTCGTACGGTGAAGTAAAACATGCCGAGGAAACCGGTCCGTGTACTAAACAGTAAAGTCTCATCACCTACTTGCCTATTCAGAAAAAAATACCAAGAAACTGGTACAGATATCAAAGGACAAGATCAGTTCCCTCTATGTAAAGAGAAGAATAAAACGATACTATTTTTTAAAACAGCTTTTTTATATTTTTATGTGCGTCTGCGATATACATCGTGTATTTTACAATTATCACGCGGTGTTAAATTACGCGGCGGCCATTTTGTATTCGCTTCACTAATTATCGCAGCAATTATGAACGTTATTTTATAGTCTTCTTCAACTAGTCCATTGAAAAGTTACATTTGGGGTTGCGTTTTTTAGAGGACGCAATTTTATTTATGGAACATGTAGGGGGGGTCAATACAAGCTTAACTCCAAGTTTGTGGGGTTGGCGTGCTTGTCCCCCGGCCGCCATCTTGGATAAAGGGGTCCAAAAACCACGTTTTTGGCTATATCTCCTAAACTATCCATCGTACATAAAACTTGTAAAGACACATTTTGTAGCAAATCGCTGTGTCTACGATTATGTCTATGTAACTTTTTATCATAAATCCAAAATTCAAAAAGTTATAAATAAAAAAGTGATAGCTAGCTACCATTCTAATAACTGATTGATAATATAATTATGTCGAAGATTACCATATCAGCAAGTTGTCTGTGGAATAGGCCTACTAGGAATACCAATAAGTAAAATTTTAGGAATAAAAAAATAATTTATTTGGAAAATTTGTTTAAAATAAACGAGAGATCTTAAAAGTAAGGTAAAACTGCTGTTTTGATCGGCTTGTCATGAGCATTGACGCACCTAGTCAACTTTAGAAATAGGAAATATTTTCACTTATAACTTTTTGAATTTTGGATTTATGATAAAAAGTTACATATACATAATTGTAGGCACAGCGATTTGATACAAAATGTATCTTTACAAGTTTTATATACGATGGATCGTTTAGGAGATATAGCCAAAAACGTGTTTTTTGGACCCCTTTTTCCAAGATGGCGGCCGGGGGACAAGCACGCCAACCCCACAAACTTGAGGTTAAGCTTGTATTGACCCCCCCTACAGGTCCCATAAATAAAATTGCGTCCTCTAACAAATGTTCACTTTGGCCCTCAAATTGTAACATTTCAATGGACTAAACCAATTTATTGGAAAATTTATTTGTTTATTAAGCTAAGTATACAAATAGTTTTAGGACCAATACTGCCGTTCACAGTTCGTTCATTCATAGTAGGAAAGGCCCTTTATAAGTCATTATGTAAAATATTTATTTACACAAGCTAACCACCAATGCTCGGAACATTCAGACATTAGTACTTAAGAAAAAACTTATCTACTTTTCATATTACTTCGGTAATAGTACCTACTTAAATAATTGTTAATGCCCACAAGATAAATGAGACTTGGCGCTAAGTTCCCTTAGTGTAGCTTATTTATTTATAAGTAATCTTACAGCTATATATACATATTATAAAAATGGAAACAATTAGACGATATACAAAGCCAAAACAGATTACATTGATAAACAAAATATACGAAGCAGAAAACATATATCAATATACTTAACATTAGCTAATAGATAAAAAAAGATAACTGACATTGTTACTACTGCTAAACAAAGTCAAAGTGTTCCCGCTTCCTCAAATATCATCATAAATTGTTGTGCAGCCTAACCCAAAACATTGGTGAATAACGCAGATAATTCGTATTCGTACTAGGCACATCGTTAATTTATAATTAGCTTAAAAAAAACTAAAAATCAGTGGCGCTACAACCTTTTTACGTCTGGACCTTAGATTTCTGTATCTGTTTCATGTTCTTTATAAGTCTGATAGACAAGCAGGTGATCTGCCTCCTGTGCCTGCCACACGCCGTCGACTTTTTGGGTCTAAGGCTGCTGCCTCGAATTTTGCGGGCAGCGGCGGCTGCGGCGCGGGAGCGGGCGATTGCACCTCTCGTTACCCGCCCTCGCGCCGCTGCCACGCCGCTGTTTTCGAGAACCGGTCCATTTGATTTTACGCATAAGATCCTGCCGCTCCCGCTCCGCCGCCGCCGCCCCGGCGCTAATTAGCTTAAGTGATGAATATTATTTGTATTGTTTCAGATGTCTACGTCAAGGTAGCCAATCATGATTTGTCTATCATTGGTACTGGTTCTGCTGGTCAGCAGCAGCCATGGACAAGTTCTCAAGTAAGCATTTTCTTATTTATTTCACTTCAAAGTATTCGTGGATTAATACGACACAGTTTTTTTCAAATCACTGATTTGCGAGTATTTTAAAAGCAAGACTGATAAAGGATTACTTTATACAGCTAAAAATAAAATTACAGGGGCAAAAGAGGCCCCAAAAGACAGCTATAGAAACCCTCTACGCTCTTTAAATTTAGAAACAACAGTCAAAATCTGCTATAACGACATCGAAGGGACTACTCATATTTGGTCGTAAACACCGATAGTCGTAACATCCGATGACGTTGTTATTAAGAACCAATAATGATTATAGAATATAATAGAATTCAGCCGGGATCTTTGACTTTGGTCAATATAACCGATGTGGTTCTTAACGATGTCGTAAACGATTATGACTGAATTTACTTAGGTAACACTGAAAATGTTTAGAAAATGAAAAAGCCAATATATTGTTTTTCGAAGTAATCAACGTTCCTCTCTACACATTGTCGCATTCGATGGAACCACTGAGAAAAGCAGCGGGTCCATTCTTCCTTAGGGGTCTCTTCTATGGCATTTTCGTATTCTTTCACCGCATCTTCAGGACTCGTAAAGCGAATACCTCAAATTTTATCTTTATAATAATTAGATTAATAATCTAGCTTTCATCACCTGTGACGATGTCAAATACAGCATTTCAGTCACCGCCGTTGAACTTATCTAACATTTGGCGACACCATTCTATACGAAGGTGTTCTGGTCGTCGGTTAAAGTATGGGGAATCCATCTGGTACAAAGCTTCCTGACGCCTAAATGTTCGTGTAACATTTTTTAATCTTGACTAATACCAATGCCCAGGCTTGCCCGTATCTGCTGATAGGTCACTCTCTTACCTTCCTCTATCATGCGTCGCACAACACTGATGTTATCTTCAGTAGTCGCTGTTAAAGGACGTCCTCCTTCACGCGGATCATCTTTGTGATTGCTACGTCCACGCTTAAACTCGTTAAACCAATTGTAAATAGTGGCACGAGATGGGGCTTCATTAAGAAATGCTAATCGCAGCCTATGATAGCTTTGTTGTTGAGTAAGACCACAATGAAAGTCATAATAAATCATTGACCGAAAATTTTCTCGCGTTAGGTTCATTTTCACGTGTAACAAGAGTTTTAGGTTTGCCGCCAATTCACAAAAACAAATGACAAATGAATGCAATATACTTTAAGAGTTTTAAAATCGAAATTCAAAAAGTTTCTAACTGGCTAATTCTAAACATTTTCAGTGTTACCCACGTACTATTTTTTTTAACCTTCAAGAATGACATGAAAATATAATATTTTGAAATTGTTATATTAAATAATTTAACCTGTAATTTCAGTAATACAGCCATGGATATCCAGTATCCGCAAGGGTTCGAACCTGCGGCGCTAACATGGATGAAGCCAGATGGCTGTGCTGTACAGTCCATGCCAGGGGAAGTGGAGGTCACGTGTTCACTTCCCTCTGGAGTAGTAGTGGTGACAGTGTCTGCGAACAGCGTTTCATTGCGGTGTGAGGTATAGTTTTTAAAATCATAATCATATATAGAAATACATATGTGTTTTATAAAGTTATTATAAAACACATAATATGTATTTCTATATATTATATTTAAGACGCTCTTTCAGGTATGAAATATGCTTGAAGTGTCTTTTTTATATTTTGTAAATGTGGTTTCTATTAATTAGACATAGGGAGGGTCAAGTATTACGTAACGCAATTCTTGGAGATTATTGACCCCCCATGTAACTCACCGTAACGTTTTTCAGTACCCAAGTACAGTACTGTACTCGAGTATAGTAAAACGTTTCGTTACCACCTAGTGACTCTTTAGCTACTATTATGTGCTGTAAGTCGAAAATAATATTAACAATAACGCGTAATTCAATCCCCGCCCCGCATCGTAACGTTTTACAAAAGGACCCGTTCTGTAATACTTAAACGCTCCCATACATATATATATATATATATATATATATAGTGTGTTTTTTTGTTATTCTATAAGTATGTAGGTTGTTAATTATATGCTCTTTTCAATTTGTAATAACATTTGTTTCATATTTTAACCAAAATTTACAAGAAAAAAGTTAATAAGACCATGAAACTCTGATGAACAGTCGTGGTCCATTCTCATACTGCAAAACTATGCGCGTATTTAAATATATTTTTTTTAGGATAAAACATTCTCCTGCAAAGAACTAACAGAAGTGCACTCACGCATAAGCAACCATTCAGCCAAGCCCAATATACGAGTACTGGCAATCGACAACTGCGTGTTGCCAGATGAAGAAATATCGTGTGTGCTCGGGGCGAAGGACGCCAAGGTCCTAATGTTTAAAGATCTGAAAAGCAATTTAACACAGCGCCATCTAGCGGGGTTGGAAGACGTCACAGATTTCCAAATACGCGGATGCTGTAAGATTCTACTTTCTAATATGTTTTGTGTTACTGAACACGTGTTATGTGTAGATTGCTTGAAATTAGTAGCTTATGCTCTATTTAAACCAATATTTTCAATTGAACCCGCTGACAGCACGGAGTCGCATTTAAAATGTGCGTTTTTGATGCGACTATCGTTTGACTCCGATTTTTCCTAAACTATATTTTGAATATAAACACCGGCGAGTATATAACATAAAACCCCTTTAAAACGTTAAAAGTATTATTACAAGTACTCGGTCTCTTTTCATCACACCATTAATACGATTTGGCAGATGGAGACGGAAGACCATGTACTTTAGTTACTGAAATTAGACTGATTTAGTTATGATTAAGTGAACAAATATATAAAATTAAATGTCTTCACAAAATTGAAATGAAAAATGTAGTAAACTCCAGTCTTCTGATTTCAGTTAATATTTTAAACAAATATCACAAAAATGGGTCTACCCGCAAACTCTATTAGGTCACGGGACACAACTTCATATATCTTTATTTCAGATAACACAATGGAGATTCCCTATGATGCATTATCAACATTACCAAATCTTAACCGTGTGTTTATAAAGGACGCAGCGCTGCATCTCACGAACGAAACTGGCGCCATCTTGACAATTAAACGTCTAACATTACTCGATATTACATTGAATTCAATGATACCAGATGGCGCTTTTAAAAGGACGCCATATTTGAATGATTTGATGATTCTTGGTCAAAGACCTGGTCTCGAAATTGATGAACATGCTTTTGATGGTAAGTTGTCATTGCCCAGCGGTTGTGGGATGCTGCAAACTTGGGATCGCGTGGGAATATAATATTAAAGTCGCTATTGGAAGTAGCAGTACTGGCGTAGGTACTGCATGGCCAGTCTCAATAGACTCAATCGTTGTGGTCAAACAAGCCTAACATTTTGAGCAGTGTGGGCTAAATAAAACAGCCAACAACAAATTAAATTAATAATAAATATATATAGATACTAGCTGTTCCCTGCCACGCTTCGCTGTGGCACATTGTGATTGAATGGTTGAGAAATGAGAAACACAACAAAGAATACATTACATTTAAGTTTAATTTTGCATTACTTGTGGAAAAAAAAAACAAAAAAAAATAGATAAAACAATGCTTGATGCTAAAATTTCAGCTCGATCGGTGTAGAACTTTTTGAGTTTTTCAAGCGTACACAAACCAACATAACGTAGATAGATATGAGTAAGATTTTTTTTATATAACGGGGCAAACAGGCAGGAGGCACACCTGATGTTGTGATATGAATACTCATGGCCAGAGGCCTCATAAGTTCGTTGTTAGAATATTGATCAGCCCTGCGATTCTGTAACTCACTTTTCGAACTCACACAGCGGTTTTCGCATCGGCGGTCGCTCTCAAATCAGTCGTGAAGCAGTCATTTTATGATTTGGCATTCTGATAAACAATAAACTACAAGCTCCCACCTTTTCATCGCAGGGCTGCTCAATCACCTCGTGACCTGATTTGAAAAACAATAAAATACAGCGGTGTGATGTATTCTTGATTTCTGGTTAAATGTTTAGTGCTACTAGTACTTTTCTTGGATAGAGCATAGGGCATTGGACTTATATATATTATATTTCTATTTGTATACACTACATATTAACACTATTTTTGAAGTTATACTTCTTTTGACGCGTTAGGAAAAATGACGAGAGTAATTTTTTACGATGCGCGCGCACACTATCACATGAAAACCGACACCTTGAAGTTAGCATAGTCAACATTTTAAAATAAAAAATGTCAATTTCTTTAATTATGTAGAAATATTTTTTGTGATATTTAAATAAACTTTATTTAACTAGATAATGCGTTATAATAAAACTTTCAATGTGATAATCCTTTTTTCTATTGTTAGTGTCGTTTTTAAACAAACTTAGAATAAAATGTTTGAAAAGATTTTTTATTAGATGTTTTTTTTATTATTTCAGATCTACCTCAATTAGTGAATATTAGTTTGAACTCAAATAATCTTCGTTTTCTTCCGGAGAAAGTATTTTCTAAAAATAAACTCCTAGAAAGTATTGAATTGTATGGAAATTCGTTGGAGACGCTACATTCGTCCGTCTTCAGTGGCCTCACACGACTGACTGAGGTAAAATGCGCATATCTTATACGTGAACCACGTTTATGTACAATAAAAGTTAGAACTACCTACATAACATTTACAAAAGCATTTAATTCTCATCTATTTATTTTTGGCTTAGAAGGAGCATTTTTACAGCTGTTTTTCTTAATGAGTAAAAATTTATATCTACCCGCATTATGATAAGAAATATTGATATATCACCGTATTAAATAAATCAATTATACTTTATAAATTGTACATAAAAGGAATTGTTATGTCAAAACGGCAAGTCTGTTGCCTCCTTTATTTATTTATTTTGTCAAATTAAATTTCCCGTATCGGCTAAATATTCATAACATTACGACATTCTGTCATAGTCTGCTTTTTCATATAGCTATTTAAAATTTTATGTTTATTTTCAGGTAAAAATGTTCAGAAACTCACAAAATGTATTATTCAAAGTTCAAGATGGCCTTTTTTCAAATCTACCCTCATTAAAACTTGTTGACATTCACGATACACGTTTAAGCCATGTACCTGAAGATTTATTCTTAAATAGTACCAACATTAAGATGATAGATATGTCTGCCTGTGAAGTAAAAACTTTGCCTGAAAAGTTGTTCCTTAATTTGAATTTGGAATCTCTTGACTTAAGTATAAATGAAATTGAGGAATTACCTTCAAAAGTGTTTTATGGACAGTACAAACTAATCGAATTAAATCTAAATCGAAACAAGATAAAAGTGCTGCCAGACGGTATATTTAGTTATTTAACGAACCTGAAGGTTTTTAATATGGGAAGAAATAATATTGAAGATTTGAATGAGTGAGTATTTTTAATTTTTTTTTGTTGCTAATAAATGGTTCAGTTTTACCCACAGAGATTTTAAACTAGATACAAAAATCGATACATGTCAGGCACAAAAGGCCACTTGCCTATAAAATTAAAAAAAAATAATATGAACACAGTCAAGACGGAGGGGAATTTTTGCTGTCCATTCCAGACATTGGACATTTGGTCGAATTACTATAAATAAAACAATATATCTAGAAGTTCTCCAACATATACAATTAAAAAACATCCTTAATTTAAATGCTATATAATATCTAGGTCTAGTCTGCATCCAAACATTGATCCAATCAAAAACTTACTGAATTATTTTTGCTTAAATTTCCTTATTGTTTTAAATACTATTTTTAATGCGCTCTATGGCACGTTGTTTTTTGCTCTGAGCTTCGCCTTGATATAGCCAGCGTGCAATGTACTAAGAAATAATTTTTATAAAATTAAATTCAGTGGCTTGAACCTCAAATTGCCATTTTTTAGATTCAATTTGTGGGTAGCTCCGTGTCCTTGTTTTGGACAATGTAATGTAACGCTTTCAAAATTGGCTTTCCTTTAATGTGACTTCCAAAACAACAGATTTCAGTTAAATATTTTTTATCTACACTACTATATCAACAACTTTTTTAAATATTTATTAGATGAATACGAAATAATTTAATAAAATGCTAGATAACAGGCAAGATTGATTAGACGACATTATTGCAATAAAGATATTAAATTTTGTATTCGCTTAGTTTCTGGTTTTGCCGAACACTTGAAGTTTGAAAGCAAGAGGCCTGGTTATTCATGAATAAAAAAATCTAAAGATTCTTATTTCTTGAACTATTTAATTTTGTAATGTGTTCTAAAAGTGAAAGTTCTACACAAGCATTGCTAGATTGATAATGTATTGTTTTTATGTTTTAGCTATGTATTCGAGGATTTATCAAATTTAGAAGAGCTGTATTTAAATAATAACAAAATCACAAGCCTAAGATATACAACCTTTAATTCATTGCGACATCTGAAGGTAAGTAAAATTCTGACAAGGTAACAATTCACGTAACATTACATACCGCTATTATTTTAAGATGCGGTTGGTGACGCTCGATGTAGCGGGCGTGTTACGTAGACGTGCACGTCGTGACGTACTCGTGTTATTTTCATTTTACATTAACCCGATTTTATGTTAACACGATGGGGAAAGCTAGCCGTCAAATTGGCACATCTGGGGCCCTTGTTTTGATTTTTGATCATGACGTGTTAATGTCATCTGTCGCTAGGTACTAGTAATGCGGTCCACCGATCAGAGTCAAACACAATATACTTTCGTTTTTTTAAGCCTTTAGTATGTAAACTATATTGATAATCTTTACCTAATACGCTAGGTAAGTAAATAATTGTATTAAAACAATTTTATTAAGAAGTAGGTAAAAAAAAGTCAATTTTCTTATAAAAACGCAAAATAAATTATAACTCTACAAAGGTTGAGCTTAGGGACCTCCCGTAGAACAATTTTTTGCAGCTGATGATCTCATCTATCCCCTATTTGCGTTTGATCCACGACTTTTTGACCAACCTGTATAAAAAAATTCTCGGTTCTGAAACAAGACATCTGTTTTCCTTTTCTAATGAAATTTCTTTTTTTAAACGACCATTTCAAATTTTCATATATGTAATAGTTGTCTTTCCTAATATATATTAACTCAACATTCTGATCTGAGGAAAGATGAATCTACGGTGCGTTTCGTTGACACGTCCATTTGACCAATCCGTTTTACATTCTCCCCGAGGCCAGGAACGAACGCAGATATTCTTACGCCCGAACCCAATAATCAATACACAATCTCAGATTGTTTTCAATCAGACCGTGACAGTTGATCGATCTCCTATCTGCATCCCAATAACCAAACCCTACGAAGACAATCCATTTTTGGCGACGGATAAAATGCTCTTTGTCGTTCCATTTTACCGAGTTTTCACTCATTTGATAGTCAATGTAAACCAAATAAAGTAAATAAAACCGTACAAATAACATTAAAATATACATGTGTATGTTTAAAACATAACAAACAGTTTTTTTAATTATTGAAAAAAAAACCGGTGTAAATTAAAATCTGTTAAAATAATTAACTGTTGAAATCGAGCTTTCGTCAACTGTTATTTTCATACAAAGGTATATCCACAGACACCGATACGACCTCCCATGGATAGCTTGTATCGACAGATGGCTATTACAATCCGTCGATTGGTTATTGGCACACTTGTTACAACATTTGGATTAAGATTACTACCTCGAATGGTGGATTGAAATAGGTTATTGGGTTCGGGCGTTATATGACTTCACTTTAAACTTTTCAGGTTCTGTCTCTCTCGCGCAACTCAATAGTCCAGTACTCGGAAGCGGTTCCATATCTCTTGGACCTTCTCCGTTTAGATTTAAGCCACAACCGTATAACCACGGTATATGATGTGTGGTTCACGCTGGTGTTCTTGCAGGATTTGGATCTATCGCACAATTCTATCACCGATTTGGACGTAAGTAATTTATGTTAACATACTGAACTGCTAGGATTGTGAGACAGTACGTTCCGGACAATTATGTCTTACGTTTGACAATTATGTCATACGTTCGTGTTCATCGTTTAATGGGTCCTGTTAACTGATACCGCCTAACAGTCGATTCTTTATTTTTTTTAAATACTTATTCTGCTATTCGGGACACCGGTCTAGCTAGTAAGATAAAAAAAAGAATGTTGATAATACAACAAATACATGATGTCAAAAAATAAAATTTACCTTCCCGGAACCCCTTCACTAACACTTGAACTTTATGATATGGTATTAAAGTTCAAATTGGCTTTTAAGTATTATTACGAATATTTTGTATGGGAATATGGAAAAGTGTTGTTTTTAGGCTTTTTCACTCAATTTTTTTTATTTTTTCTCTCCGTAAGAACCATCCTCGTACTTCAAGGAATATTATAAAAAAGAATTGGCCAAATTGGTCCAGGCGTTGTTGAGTTATACGCTTACCAACACATTTTGCGATTCATTTTTATATTATAGACTTATGTCTTCGATTATGATTTTTATACTGTATATTGAATTACATTTTTTTTCCTTTCAGCGTATAAACTTTGACAACAGAACACGCGTGGACCTACGGTACAACAACATTACATATGTCGACCTAATACTACAACCCGACCTTTCACCCGACTCGTTGCCCGATCTGTTGCTCGACTACAACCCATTCAGTTGTAACTGTTCCCTATATGCCTTTATTACTCTCGCCAGCAACAAATCATTTACACGCATACATATAAACGACGCAAAATGTTCTACCCCGACCGAGTTGTCTGACTACAAGTTGACCGACCTGTCGGTGGATATGTTGACCTGCGATTATCCGTTTTGCCCTGACGGTTGCAGTTGCACCGAAAGAATCGCATTGAAACAAGTCGAATTTAACTGCACTTCACTGCCCCGATTCCAGGAACTTAGCCGTTCGTCACCTGACACAGTCTTGCGATTAGAAAAGTACACACATATTAATGGGTTACCACCGTACGTGAAGCTTTTAAACGTCTCAGGGTTAAATATAACAGACTTCGGACCGGTGCTTTTTAATCCAATTGAAATCGATTTGAGCGACAACGCCCTTATCGCCGCTCCTCAGTTATTACACGAAAACGTTACCCTTAACCTCCTTAACAACCCGCTAAAATGCGATTGCGAGCACCAAGACAGCGTGAAATTATTAAAGAAATTCAATAAAAAAGTAAAATATTACGCGAAATTAACGTGCGAGAACGGTGACTATATCGAAACGAAAGACATTGATCAAATTTGCTCCTTAAAGAGTCAAGTGACCTACAGCCTGATAGCGTTGGCTGCCGTGTGTGTCATTGGAGTTGCGATATTTTTGGCGTACAGAAACGTTGTTCTCATTCGTATTATATTGAGAAAGTACGGCTTCCAGTTGTATACAGATTTAGGGGATTACGACTATGACGCGTTTTTTTCGTTCGCGCAGGAGGACGATGCCATCGTTCAAGAGATCGTTAAGAGCCTGGAAAGTGGGTCGCAACCGCTGAAATTGTGCGTGCACTCACGCAACTGGATCCCCGGCGAAATGATAGTCGACCAAATCGAGCGATCGGTCGAGCGATCGCGTTGGACGATCATTGCCCTATCGCACAGTTTTATTAAATCCTACTGGGCGAGAATCGAATATTTGACTGCGCACAGCAAATCCAAACTGCTAGTCTTGATTTTAGATGATGTGCATGAATCGGAAACGCTCAGTCCAGAAATTAAATTGTACATTAAGTCAACTACGTACACGCATTACTCGAATCCGTACGCCGTTGAACGACTGCGGGACGCTGTCTTGAGACAGCCCAAATGGCCGGGGTTGGTTGGAAAGAAAAAGGATGGCGAAAAAGGGATAACGGAAGAAGGTAAGTTAAAAGGGGCGCTGGATGTTCAGATCAATGTTGATGGCCAGTTGGTGAATCAGGGAGAGGTTAAGAAGTTTTAGAATTGCGTGACCTGGCGAAATATTTCTCTGGGATTTTGAGCTGATCTCAGAGTTGTCTGATTATGCCTCTTATAAAGCGCTGATAGTCTGTTTTATTGATCACAAAAACTTAGACAATTTGCGTAAACGTACCCTCATGTATCCTGTATATTTATACAGGGTGGTTTCATTACCTTAATATCAAATTATTGCTTCCTTCTACTATTTACAAAGCAGTTTAGTGTACGGCAACGTCACACTAAATGTTACTAAAAATGATGTGCTTAAACGTATTCAACATTTCTCGCTTTTTGTTCACATAAAAGTCTAAATTTAATAATGATATGTGTACTTTTCAGTACATATTTTTAGATGATGTTATAAATATAGTTTTATATATAATATTGTATGACTAAGTTGGTAGGAACAGCCTTTGAGCCTTTATAATTGAATTTGTTGTGACAGGTTATAAACCTTTTTCTCTTATTTTTATAGTTCTTTCGATAATTACAAGTTTTGAGTTGACGATTAAATTTTACGTTCTTATATTAAAGACTCAATTTCAAATAGAACCTTATTGCAATCGCATAAAGTTTAATTTACTTTGTTTTTTTAACTATAAAAGCCATAGTTTTCGTTTATACGATGAAACTTGTACTAATCCCACAGAACGGAAAGTGTTTGACAGTTTTGCTATCTAAGTATTTATGGTAGAAAGAGATCGAAATATTTTTTATATAATTATGAAGGAAGCAAGTGTTCTCAGTCTTCCTCGTGTAAAAGAAAGAGACGCAACTTCGTTTAGCCATATTATTTTATTCTCAACGTTATATCTCATTTAAAAGCAATAATTTACTAGTTTTTAAGTATTTTACAAATAATTGAGCAATTTATTGCAACTCGAATATATTTAAGTAAGATTAATATTAATATACGTGTCGGTCAACTGTATTTTGGATGTGTTTACAATTATTCAATGTACCGACAAATTACAGTATGACAATTTTTTGTACTTAGTTCTTATACTCTGAACTAAGGCTCTACTTTTTTACAAGTACGAAGACTTGTGCGCCTTACCAAAGCTTTTCAGTCGTAAAAAAACAAATTTCATTATTGTACTAACTTTAGTTTTTATTAAAAAAAAACGAGATTTCCTTGTTCATAGTGGTCTGCCACGGCGTTCCATCTTTAAGGGGAATAGAGCTAAAATATTTGTATGAAAAATCTTAGTTCTGTGCGTAACCATCTTCAATGTGCCATTCTTCATACAATTACTTAAACAGAGAAGTTCATTTAGTTAAGTCAAGTCTCTCTGATCTGAATCTCTGAGTAAAGTATTTTAAATATAATTCTTCTTTTAAGTAGTTTCATTATATCTATCAAGATCTATTTTTTGCATAAAGCAGCTTCAGCTCCAGCTTCTGTATCTTACGGATCTTCTGAAACCATTATCTCGTGGATAACCCTTAATCATATAAATAAATCAGTTTTTTAGTCAATTGTACAGCAATGCAAAGTTGCCCCGCAAACGCGCGAGAGCTATGCAATTGAAATATTTTCTGACGGCAACGTCTTATAATTCGATGGAGCCGGCTGCACGCACGAAAAAACATGACTCATGCGGCGTTACCTCGCTCTGAGGCGTTACCTCGCTTGAGGCGTTACCTCTCTCTGAGGCGTTACCTCGCTCTGAGGCGTTACATTTAAAATTGACATAATTGTATTTATGCGTACAAATAAATGTAACTTGATCAATTCAATTGTGATTTCCATTTACCTCCTTCTCTATATCCATACAAAATACCTATCAAACAATTTTCATTTAATTTTTTTTTTTAAAATGCAACCATCCCATCAATATTTTTTATGACGTTGTCTCACGTCCAACTATCGTCAGTAAACCGACTTTACAGACAACCGATATTTTTTAATATAGATATTAAATTTGAGATTAAATCTCTATTTTCAAATAAGTGTCTTAATAATCTTACTTTTAAAGTAAGATAAATGTGTGTAAAGACAAATTTTATGAGCCTTATGTACCGATGTAATCTGTACCTACCTTTTTGTAATTTTTGATGTACTTTATAGTTTGTAAATATATTTTAATAAACTACATTTCATTATAAAAATTGTTTTATTTGAGACTCAATTTGGGTATATCTTATAGGATTCCGCCTCTTAATTGATTACGACCATGATATGTGAGTGATTCACAATACGATACGATAGCTATCTAATATCTTAGCCAGTGTTCATAGATAGCTGGTGTAGGTATACATTTAACTGTAACTGTTTATAAGATATATTATTGAGGATTTTTAAAATAGACCACAAATTATTTCTCTGGAAATACAAAGAAACGACATTAGAAGTTCACTAATATCGCCTCCTCAATTATAACTTTAAATTTATCTCTACAAGTTTCTTATAACAATAAAATGCACAAAATAATTTGAACGTCATCCGCCATTGAATCGCGCGTCACTCCGATGTGTCGCCTACCAACTCGCACAGACTACTTATAAAAACGCGAGCGCGTCAAATTCGAATGAATGATATGTCATTTCATTAAGCCGAATTTACATTACGAAACTAGTGTTATGCATGTTGGAATGAGTTTCATGAAAATAGTTGCAGCACGTGTGAAACTACTTTAACAAAAAATAATAGTGTCGTGAAATCAACAGTATCACCAACGACATGGCTCTACTACTGACTAGTTTCGTAATGTAAATTCGGCTTTACAGTATGTATTTTCAACTCGGTCATGAAACAAAATTATTGGTAATGTACGAATCCCGCTCTAGGCCGTAAGTGAAAGGATTCACTTCATTATATACTGTATCACGTGACAACAGCGCTACGGATTTTGAAAAACCTGTATCGAAATTGGATACAAGACTAATATTGATTGAAGTCCAGATAGTAACTTTGTTCCAGAGCCCAGCTCTTAAAGGGGAATGAAAAATAAAAGACGGTTAGATTATTAATATTATATTGGTTAACTACCTACACTAGCACCATCGCATTCTGTACATACATATAGGGTCCATACATACACGAGTCGGAGCCTACGGTTATATAACATTGTTAAGATACTCAATTATATTAATTAGCACTTCAGATAGTAAATTAAAATCTCTAAATAGCTGCCAAAATGTTACAACTTTATAAAAATATTAGCATTTCCGCCCGCGTAGATTTCGTGTATTAGCGAGATTTCATTAATAATCGTTATATTATAGTATTATTACATATATCAATGAATCATACACCTGAACCTTTCTCGGAAATCACAGCATATAGCACGAGTTTATGGCATTCATCAGACACAGAAACACCTGAGAGACTTCATTTCCTAAGGATATTTTTATATTAAAAAAGAACACGTCATTAAACAACGGAAAAGATTTCATATTTTAAAATTACTATGATTTTTCAAAAGTATATTAACCCTAAGCTCCGTAGTAACAAGTTATCTACAGCTGATATAATAATAATCTATTCTTCTTAAATTACTTGACATTCTTATAGCCGACGATATAAATACGAATGACAATACAATGGAAATGGAATGGGGCAGAACTTAAAGAGCAAAGTTCTTTAGTATGCTTGCCGATGTCCGTTAATAGTACATACATAATATGTACATGCGGTACGTATGAATCTGAAAAGATTTGTCTAAAATGTATAGATGTTATAATTATCTTACGAGTTGAGTGATGTGAATAGTAACATAAGTATGACACTTAATAAGAGACATGATATATAGTGTTTTAGAAAAGTATTTTAAATATTTATTAGTGTAATGTGAACATTACATTCAATAAAGTAAGATTGTTCACGGGCTTATTTATTATTGTGACCGAAGAAGTGCAACGCGCTGACGCAGCGCCGCGAGTATATTGGTGTAATCATTTTTATTGTGAAATTTGCTTTGCGATGCAATTGTTAGTAAGTGAACTTAAAAAAACTCGACTAAAAGTCCAATTACTAAGAACTGAAAACTGTCGTCAATGAACAGAAGGATCGAATAGCTCAGCTCGAACAAAAAGTAGATCAGTCCTCATAGAGGTATGATACTGACGAAGAAGAACCTGCGAAAGACAGAATGGGTACAACAAAAAAAGCAGAAATAAAAGGACACCTACCCTTGCCCCTTGAAAGAAGTTGCGAATAATAAAATAACTATAAAATCTTTAAAAGGAACCCTACCACTGCTGATTATCATCGAAAACGTAAAAAATCATCAGAATCATTTTACGAATTTTTACTTGAAAAAGAAATAGGAAAAAAACTCTTTCCTAGTAAAAATGCTCAGTAACGGAACTGTGAAAATTGACACCAACAATAAAGCTACCTACAGAGGTATAATAAAACATATAAAGTTTATATGCTCATAGTCATTTGAAAACAAGCAGAGCTGAGCACTGAGATGTCCAGATTACACAAAACATCTGAACAACCTCACTGAACAACTGAGGAGAATGATTAATAAAACTTCAATAAAAGTATATTTTAGGTATCACTAAACTAATTCATTTCTGATACTTCCACCGACTACTCCATCTGTGAAGCCGTAATAGATTTTAAAAATAAACCTACAACACTTTTCTTATCAGAGTCTGATAGAAAATAGGCTGCAAGTAACATACAAAAAGTAAGACGTACAGAAAGCCTAAAAAATATATTTCAAATCGATAAATAAATTTTACTTCACTTCGAGGAAACATTGTCCGAAGAGCTACAACGCCTCAAGCCTATTATCGCCGAAATGAAGTTCATACCGGATTACCAATTTGGTTTCAGAGAAAAAAGGAAATTCTACCATAGAATAGGCTTATAGAATTACAAGTAATATCAAATTTAAAAGAACATATAGTCTGTCCATTATCTCTAGATTTTGCTCACGCATTTGACAAAGTGTGGCACCGAGAACATTGTCTCAAACTAAAACTCAAAATAACATTATTCATATAGGTTAACAAGTACACTTATGAACGTCAGAAAAGAAGTTAAAATATGTAAATTTACATTTACTACCAGTTCGCAAGTCAAGGGCGTAGAGCGGGCAAGTCTATAAATTAAAGGAACTAATGGCTCGACAAATCTCAAAAATCCTCGAGTTATACTAACACAAAGAATGTTTAGAGTGCGACAAAGAAGATGAATATTCCGTATTGAAACTAATAAAAGCTGGGGTACCGCAAGGGAGTGTATTAGGTCCGATTCTGTACCTATTATACACATGTGATATTCCAGAACTTGAAGTTAACATAATCGCGGCTTTTACTGATGATATCCGCTATCTAAGGCGGGTAACACAAAAGTTTGACACACACAGTTACACTTAACTCGTAAGATGTTATTATGTGTAATGATAATGCAATTGTAACACATTTTTTAAATAGTTATGTATGCAAGCAAAGTCGTGTTGAATCGTTTCAAAGACAATGTTCAACAATAACCTATTGTATTGTTATTCGTACATTGCGTAGCAGTAGACCGTAAAACCGTTAAAAATTTAGATTTTTCATATTATGTGCTCGGATTCATTGCATATATTCAACAATAAGCAATTACATAAATGCATAGATTATTTTCGATGAATATTTACATATTTTTAAATTTAGCCTTAAATTATTTATTAAAAATATATTTTTTAAAAACATTAATCTTTTAATATTTGCAAAGCACTTTTTATACTTGTGTGCAATAATTTTGAGACGGTAATATTCTCAAACAGAGTTTAACGTTAAGCAACACTTGCCGCGGTTAAATGGATTGGATGGGTGTAACAGTCTGATTCAAAAGCGTACTATAAACTTTGTTAAATGTTTTTTCTATTTTATTTTCAACACACACAATAGTTATGTGATATTTATAGTACATTTAAGGTCTGTTTTCCCATAATTATCTCGCTCAGTCTTGAGCATTGTCAATGTCAGAATGTACAGAAATTTTGACACCTCTTGAAACTTGATTTAAGTTCGATTTGCGTTTAGAAATATCGGTCACGTGCCAAAATTATTGTCCAAAAGTGTGAATATACATTTCACTCATGCAAGAGTAAGATAGCAATAAGGCATTTAAGCATTTGGCATCTCTTTTACACTTAAGCAACATTTACGCTTTCAAAAATATCTTTTTTATCTCTAATACAGATTTTTTTAACCAAATGCACATAAAGATATGTTATATTGCTTTTATTAATATTAATAAATACAAAATCCAAAATAAAAAAATACTACCCTACTTTCTATGTTTTTAGCAGTTTCTAATCTAAACTAAACACTGTTACATTGTACTTCTATGTGATGCTAAATCGTTGTCTCGCTTTAACCATATATGTAAGAAAGGGAAAACAAACTTTTCGTTTAGGAATTTTAATTTTTCCAGAATATTATAAATTTTAAAAATTCTGCTCGGAAAACCTAAAAAATATAATTAAAAATAACTTTAATAAAAAGTTTGTTCTCGTGTGATAATTGTGGGTAGTTTATAAATCAGTTTCAGACGCTTGCGTGTCGAGCCAGTGTCGCTCCCTCTCCGCACGGCGACGGCCGCGTGATCCGTCGCTCTGAAATTAAAACATTACATGAAAATGTATTAAGGATTTTACTGCAATACAACAATAAAGATTTCTTCCGAACGATGCAAAAATCATAATGATGCAGTGGCGCTCCTCGAATCTTTGTTTCTTTCACAAAAGCCAAACAAAGAATTTTTGTGCGTGTACTAGGTGTACACGTAAGAAGGGAAACTTCTTTATGCCACCTTATGTTTCGAAAAATGATACTACTATGGAACTTTACAGAAATTCGTTAAATTAGCTAAGTGCGTTAACAAAAGGCCTTTATTATCATAGACTTGGTACACATCTTTCTTTTGACCTTATTAGTACGAAGATTAGTATAGAATTTCATTAATTGTCAGATTGTTACTATCATATGAAAAACGTGACGATTTGCTACAAAATTTCTCCCATGACGTGATAAAGACGTTCTCGTTTCAACGCCGATAAAGAAGTTTGCCTTCAAAAAGCAACATGGCGCGTTACCGAAATGTGACGCGTAACAAAAAGGTTACACTACATTTTGTACGCCTGTAAGAAGTTATCACTTCAATAGAAACATGTTTATTTTTAAAATTTTCTTACAACTCTTAAATTATAGATTTTTAATAACAATTGAATTGCTACTCAAATGTCTTGTTGAAATTTAGGAGTTCTTTCAGTTTATGGGCAATACACAGTTCCTATTTTAATGTATTGAAAGGAGTTGAAAATAAAATTAATATTTGATTTTATTCTCTTACATTAATAAATATCACGAGGCATCTGTTCTATCTAATCAATCGTAAAATGAGGTTTTTACATTTTGTCTCATACCTTGTGTTGTAAATTGTCCTTTTGTGTATTGACGCAGCTCACTCTCCTCAGCCTTTTCTCGCGCCAAAGTACAACTACGGAGTAGAAATGTTTATTTAAACTTGAACTATTGTTTGCTTTTAATAACAACGAACTTTCTGTTAGTCGATTTTGTTTGCCATTAAAGACACAATACTAATACTGTTAGTTTAACTATCTAATAAGACACAAAAAAGTCACATACTAGATATAATAGATTACAGACTTCATATTCAAAATAATTTATTGGAAATCATTTTAATTTTATTTAACATATTTTGAGAGCCATGGGTCTTTTATAAGACGTGTAAAATCTTGTGCGAGGATTAAAATTACTTTTATTTTTCGACATACAACAAAATAGTAACTAAAGTGTCACTAGGTGTGGTCACGAAACGTTTTCCTATAATTGGGTACAATACTTTACTAGGAATATTTTGATAAAAAAACGTATTGCGAATAGTAATCAAATACGGGCGATTGTGAACATTCAACATTACTAGATATTCAAAAACTTTGTATTGATAAGATAATATTACAAAAGACTTTAGTTAAATTAATAAATATTATGAGGGCCTAGACCTCCGGTCTTTAATAAATAGTAAAATGAGGGCAGAACATTTCTGTCCAACCTTTGATTGTAAATTTGTCTCGGCCATTTGAGTATTGACGGTACAGGGTCGCTTACACCCTATCATGGAGGCCAAGGTAGTACTTCCTGCAGAAATGTTTATCTTAAACTTGACACTGTTGCTAATTGCAGCAAACCGTGCAATACAACAGACGAAGTTTCTGTTACTTGAAAAAATAGTATTTAGCAATAAAAAACAATATAATCTCACCTGTATCATTAACACTTCTCCATATAACACAAAACATTCACCAAGGACTCGCCAATATGTCCAGTATCTATATATTGCCAAATAATTAGTAATTCCCACATTACATATCTTCCCATAAAGGACATTTATTCTTTATTCAGTTTCAATTTGCATGTAGAATATCAATAGTTTATATTCTGTACATTACTACTCTTTAATCGTTGTTGATAACAAAACATAATAATTACTAATTCTATTGAACGATAATTTTACTGAAAATACTTATTAAATAGCTGTTTAACGCCAAAATTATAAGTAATTCCTCCAACCATGGATTCTCACAATGCCAGAAGGTGCAAGTCTTGCGTTAGTCGACAGGCGCTTTCAAATTGATTCGCCTCATAGATTATTATTGGTTACCCTCAGAGCCTGCTTCATGACAGCTGCTTCACGATATCTGACAATCCAGCGAGAAAATTCTGCCACCATTAAGGATACTCTGCCACACTTTTCCATAGGTCTATATTTGACAAATTGATAAACTGTATTAACAATATACAAATTCGTTTATAAAAAGAAATTATTTAGTGATAAAGGCAAAGATCATATACCAGTTTTATAACGATAAACATATTTTTTCGCTACTTATATTCAATGTTATTTCAAAATAATATAGCTAATTTTTGAACAGATGCTGAAAACACGCTTAAAAACCCGAGCGCGTTTAACGTCAAAATGTATAGTATTTCCTACACACTTGCAGTTTTTTAAAAATAATGAGGTACAATCTAGCGCCGTAGTGTTTAATATGTGAACTGTCGCTATATATACTATACTATAGTAAACGCTGTCCTCTTAAATTGCTTTAACATTATGACGTCAGTAACTGGTGATCCATCAGAGCTGGCGCGTTTATAGCTCACGTGATTTTTATTTAAGTTTCGTCAATTTTTACAGTGATGATTAATTGCCAAAGTTTTTATTAAGTTTTTTGCATTAAAATATGTTATAAATTTAGAATAAAGTTTTAACAACATAAAAAAACATATTTTTTTTTTCAAAAACCCAATTGTACACACAGATAAAGCTATAACATAACGTAACGTTTAGGGTATCCGATACCCCGGTAAAAGCTATCTTACCGTGCGGTGAATACATGTGTGGTGGCGGTCTCAATGCGCGTAGAGCGACGGTTTCTCTTTTGAGTCGCGCCGCGTGTCTGCGCAGACGCACTTCACATTCCTCGCTCCACGGGTCTAGATCTTCCTCCGTTGAATTATTTCTGAAAGGAGTTAAATAGCATTATATGATACAATAACTTGAATCATGAATTAAGCAAAAAATCTTCAGTTAAAATATTTACACGTCAGTCAGTGTGTGATTTTATTACTTCCATAATATTTAATGACGAAATACATACTGTTGATGGTCGTGCCACGGTCCCGGGGACAGCATCGCCTGACCCCACACAGGTCCGCTCTCAAGGCGACGCAGCAGCCGACGAGCTACCCCTTCAGCTGCGGAGCGCTGAAATTAAATTAATAAGTTAATAGATATAGATAATATATTCGGTTACAATTTGTTCATGATTAAGTGACTTTAAAAGTATTGACTTTGAAGTGCGCATTCAACACTCTCTCGTTCGAAGGTTAACTTCGTGAGGAAACCGGCATGCCATAGATCCATGATTACGGCGTGTCAGGCACAGAAGGCTGATCATCTACATGCCTATTAGAAACAAATGATCACGAAATACAGAAATTATGAATGAATGAATTAAAACCGTAACCATATAGCACGAAGGTTCAAAATCCTTTAAAAAAACCGTCTTAGGAATTTGTCCTAACGCGAGTTTAACATTTTTTACCCATTCCAAAAAAAGTGTACAACGCCGCTAAAGAAGTTATCACTTCAAAAATTAAAAGAGGGAACAAGTTACCTCCGGACTATCCGTATCGTTTTGCGTCTCAGCCAAAGCCAGCAACACATCGTAGGTCTCCAAAGCCCGATCTGCGGCCTTCAACGCGGAGCACAGTACTACGGACGACGACTCGTGCATTGCGCAAGCGCAGGATAATCTAAAAGACGTTAATTTCGGAATACAAATAAATGTAAATGATCTCTTTTACCGAAATAAGATCTCTTTTCCTTCATAATCTAAATTCTCTTAGATTGTAAAATTTAACTCGATCGTGGGTTCAATTCTCGGCGATTCACATGGGACTGACCTACTTTATAAAAATTGGGAATTAAATAACACGCCGATAAAGCACTCGAAAGCAGATAAATATAATAAATATTTTCCAAAAAAAGTAACACTGGTAAGTAACATTTTGTTGCAGCTTATTAAAAGACGGGCTGGTAGAAGGAAGAAGTCATGGTTGCGGAACGTACTGAAATGGGCCGGCATCACATCCGCCGAGGAACTGTTTTTTAATGGCAATTTAACTTTATGCCAGTTTCAAGTAAAAGGTAGAGAAACTACAAATTAAGAAAGACATCAAAAGAAAACAAAGGGATAAGCTAGTTAAAAACAAGATATGTGCATAAACATATTAAATCTTAATATTATTATTTATTATGAAAGAAGATAAATTGTATTACAAAAAAGGACAATAAAAGGCAGATTTTAGTCGGAAATGGAACATTTAGTAATTGTAAGGAATACAGAAATGAAAGGTCATATTGGGAACAAGAAAAGAAAATATGGTCGAGGTCACCAATATCTTCTCCACACTCACAAATATAACAAGGAGGTACTAGTTAGAATAGCGCAAAATACCCGACAATTCAAGTTATGAACAGCCAACGTTACCGATGTTGTGTGTCCACCGCCCTATGTAAGGCTGCGTCTAGAACGCGACATTCAGCCGCAAGACGAACGCAACGCGCTCGCCATAGTTCAGTGGTTATTGACTCCTCTGAAACAATCGATATTATGGAATAAAGCATGGTACAATCCCCACTGTAAAAAATCCATATACTAGGATAAAAATCCAAGTAATAACTTGCCTTGATACCGCGAAAAGGAGTTTTCGTAAGGATTTTCTCAAATATTTGTAAAAACGATTCTACGAATTAGAATTGTACAATTTGTTAAATAATAGTCAAAGTAATAATAAAAGCGGTTTTTGTCTTATGAGTCTGCATGTATACAAAAAATACTCATAATTTTAAAGAGGAATTTTGCTGCTTTGACAGATTTTATAAAAAAATTTAAAATAATATTTATCAACGCTAAATCTGTTCATACAGGCCTCATATAGGCTTTTCAAATAGTAATTTTTTATTTTAAACTTGTACGTTTCTCTATGCGCTATTGGTTATGGTAATTGTTTTGAGAATTTTGCCGGGCATGTGGCAGTCTCAAGATCCAACTCTGGGTGAGTTGATCGATAAAGTGAAAAGGCCCTTAAGGTAAAAGAAAAGGGAAGAGAAGAGAAGAGGGACCACCAATAGAAAGTTCAGTCATAAACGATGAAAAATTATATTATCAAACTAATTGTCACTATTTTTGAGAGAAATACAAGACCTTATTTATTTTTAACCGACTTCAAAACCGGGGGTTTCTCAATTCGACCGTTTATATACAGACAAATCGAGGGGAACCTTTAAAAAATCTGTTCAAAATCAAAAATATATCGCAAGTCTTGTTTTTTTTTTTCAAAATCATATTTTTATTTATACCTTCATGGTTAGCGGCGACCAGAGCTTCTCTAAGATCAGCCTGAGCACATACATCTAAGGCGAGCCGTTCTGCAGCTTCCACGCACCACTGAAACATACATACAGTTTTATTATTAATCTATAACCAGTATTGAACGTGCGACCCTCAACCCTTACATTACTCACATAGAGCCCCTATGTTCAGGTATTACGTAAGCAGAATTATAGGTCGGTTATCGAAAGCTGGCGCGTTCACAGTACTCACACTAATGCAATTTCACATACAGTATGTTTCAAAATATGACTTTTTTGCCAAGCTATATATTTTTGTCTACTCTGGTTTTAGTAAGGTCCCAACCCACCCAGGTTGTAAATAAATAAAAATGTGTCAAATACATAGAACGTGCATACGAGGGTGGATCCAAAAGTTCTAAGCCCGACCAAGAACGTAAAAGAGTAGTTTGTGTAAATAATTTTTCATTTTTCGACATAAGCTCCTTCAACACACTTCACTCTTACTTCCCTAACAATTCTTTCAATACTCCTCTTAGAAACAATAGCCGCATCTGACGTCAAATTAAACATTAATATTGTTCATTAAACAGGGGCCTTAGTCAAGATGCCTTAACAGTAGTGTATGTAGAAAGTCGAAAACTTAATTTGTATGGAAATGACAGTTCGTGTCGAAAAGTTTTCATACAAATTTAGTTTTTGACGTTCTACATACACTACTGTTAAGGCATCTTGACTAAGGCCCCTGTTTTTATTAAGATGCTTAAAACACACAAGCTGATGCCGTCAGCTTTAAATAATACCCATACTGCAATTAATCCCCCCCAGCCCTCCTGTCAGCAAAAGTAAACTTACACGTAACTTACATAAACGAGTTAATTTTTTGTAGAAACCCTCGAAAATGCATTTCGTTTGAAAGCATAGACAATGTGTGGGTAATAAGTGTAAAAAAGTAAATAATAACTGTTGACGTAATCACCAAATAAGAAAATCAAACTATAGGGGGGAAGGGGGATGCGCACACCACCGCTATTTGGAATCAGCTGCCCACTGAAGTATTTCCGAACCATTTTGACTTAGAGTCCTTCAAGAAAAGGGTGTATTAAAAGGCCGGCAACGCATTCCCTGATCCCTCTGGCATTGAGTGACCATGGGCAACGGACTTAACATCATAAGCCTCTTGCCCGTTTGCCGCCGTTGTTGTATAAAAAAAATCATTTAAATGCTTGAGTATTATAAAATCTCAAAATGGCTAATATACCTCTTCATTAGATATTGGTTGATTCGTTTCAGTTTCAGACGTCTTTTTTAGTCGAACCCGGGACGCGATCTTCGCCTGACGGGACTCGCAACGTCCTGAAAAAAAGAAAAATAATACTCTGACTCCTCTCTCTCTGACTCTTTGACTCTGGAAAATATTGATTTTGGTAACGCAAATATTTCTTAATATAGACGGCAGATATTCCAGTTTAATACACGCAGAATCACGCGCGAAAATTACACGAAAATCATTTATATTATATTTAATACAATGTTGGGTGTGGCAAAGAAAGAATGAAAGTAGAATACCGAAGAAGAAGTATGAGGTAAGAAGTATGTGAGGTGTAGCATTGATAGGATAAGTAATAGTGAGATTAGCAGTTTGGGTAAAAAGAGGACGTAGTGATGAAGGAAAGGAGCTTAGGATGTTTAGCCATGTAGAACGGATAAAAGAGAAGCAGGTAACAGGTATACATAGCAACCATGGATGGTGAAGTCGAGTTGGGTAGGTTGGTACCTGGACCAAATCCAGGAGGTACTAGAGACAACTAAAAAGTACCCATAACCGTGGCATGAATGGTGAATGTCATGGGAGTGGATGAAGTAAGAGAGGTATGTCAGGACCATAGAAAGTGGTGATTCGTGGTCTTTGCCTCCTAATTGAAAACACACCAGAGAAGGTCTAGTAAAAGCCGTACAAAGATCCGATTTTTCACGTAAATTAATCAATAAAGCATTTTATAAATTTGATGATTACTTAAATGATCCTAATCCTTGGGATTGATTTGCTTCAGTTCTTGGTTGTATGATTCAATACTTGGCGATTAAAAAGAGTGGCGGAAAGTTTCTTGCCAGTTCTTCTTACCCGCTCTACGCCCTTGACTTGCGGACTGGTAGTAAATGTAAATTTACAATTAAATAAACTTCTTTTTGACGTTCATAAGTGTACTTGTTTACCTATATGAATAAAGATAGTTTGAGTTTGAGATTATCGCGTCCATACAGACCGACATACCTGGTCTGTAATACAACTATATAGATAGAATCCTTGAATAAATACCAGGAGATGGCGGTAGGAGCGCTGGTGAACCTCTCTCTCTTTGACAGCTGTTGTTCGAACCATGAGCACGGCTGTACTGGCAGCACCTAGACAGAAAATTGTTTATTTTACAGGAATTATGGGAACATCACAACATAGCTATCGAACTATTTAATCACCTTCCCCGAAGTTATTGATTACTGCCGTGTTTTGCCTTCAAGGGGAAGGTGATTGTTGTTAAAGGCATGGTGTCTTTATAGTAATGATAATTAATTGTGCGGTTTTTTTAATAATTAATCAATCTGAACCACTTTCTTTGCTAATAAACGATTTATTTATTTAATAAAAGTGTAGCTGTCTCTTGGATGGAGATGCGCTCCATCATCACCACATGATAGGGACCCGGTGTGCGCATACGCATAGCGTTAGAGAAATAGTTCACCATGAGTATTTAAAGGAAAAAAAATCAAGAAACTTGTATGGCGCCAAGAACAGTCATAGGATCAGAAAAATACTGCTACACGTATTATATTAAAAAATGTTGCGATTAATAGATCTATATATAGATATATAGTCTGACCGAGATCATAGCTTCATGTATTCCTGTCCTAAAAATATCCATAAAAGATAATTAGATGGCGGCACGTAAATTTTTAACTGAAATATCTCATGAAAAATTCCGTCGTACGATTTGTATATATAAATAAATTTACACTATAAATTTAAGCGTCATGGCACGAGGCCAATTAATAAAAGGCCGACAACGCACTTGCAAACCTTCTGGCAATAAATAAATAAAAAGAGTGTCCACTGGCGGTCTTAACACCAGATGAGCCTCGTGCCCATAAAAAATCGTTAGTAAGAAATTATTAGTAATTAGTAAGAGCAGTGTTTGTCTAGTGGCTTATCGACAGAACACTGAGGTCGTGCGTTCGAATCAAGTCTGTGTACCAATGGGACACACATTTTTTATGTTTCTATTAAAACTTCCTACGGTCACTACGGCATGTCTTTGAAGCTACGAAAAAATATAAAATGTGTCAGGAACAGATCACCTACTTCTCTTTAAAGTGGTCAAATGGGTGGTAGCGCTGTTGGATTTTTAAAAAATAATTGTAATACAAAAAAAAACGAGTGTGTACTTATGTACACGCGTTAGAAGTTATACTGCTTTGGCGTAACAAGGTAAAAATCTTTTCAAAAATTATATTTATATTTTTGTAGAAGAAACGACACTAACAATAGAAAAAACTAAAATGTCGACTATAGCTAACTTCAGGGTGTCGGTTATATGTGACGGTGTGCGCGCGCATCGTAAAAATTTACTCTAATCATTTTTCGTATGTATCGGCAAAAGAAGTATAACTATAGTATAAATTTATCCTGGGTTCAATTCCCAGTGAAACACATTTCGAAACAATCTATACCTGGCTGTTGTAACACATATCTCTGAATCCCTCTCGGATAGCCTCAAACTGGAGCAGTTCTCTGAATCTTGTGGTGGTGAGACTTCTAGTGTCGGTTGAATTCTGAAGACATAAAATATAATTTATTCATATAGGTAATCTACACTTATGATATAAATAAATCAGTGGCGCTACAACCTTTTTAGGTCTGGACCTCAGATTTCTGTATCTGTTTCATGATTATAAATCTAGTAGGTAAGTAGGTGATCAGCCTCCTGTGCCTGACACACACCGTCGACTTTTTGGGTCTAAGGCAAGCCGGTTTCCTCACGATGTTTTCCTTCACCGTTCGAGCGAATGTTAAATGCGCACAAGGAAGTCCATTGGAGCACAGCCGGGGATCGAACTTCAGGGATGAGAGTCGTACGCTGATGTCACTAGGCCAACACTGCTACACTTGTGAACGTCAGTAAATAATGCTACTAATACATTTTTTTTAATGGCTCTGGCACGATTTGTGCATTAGCCAGCGTCAAGTATAGGATTTTTTATAATTCGTGCTTGTCTTTAGAAATTCGACCGTGTCCTCCATGTACGGTTTAAGCACTCGCCCGGTACCGCACAACCCTCCCAAAGGCCGAGAACAAATTTAAATTAAATTAAAACTTGCCCTCGAACCGGGAATCGAACCCGGTATCACCTAGCTGCCACTTAATAAGACCGCTAGGCTATGAGGCCCCTACTAATACATTTACTGCCAGTTCTTAAATTGTAGAACAGACGAGAAGAAGAAGTCACTGTTTTAAATCGCCATTTTTTACAAAAGTTTGTAAGCGCCTGCAACCATTAGATTTGCTCAACCATGCTCCTCGTCACATGTTAAAGCAGCTAATTATTATAATGAAAAAAATAATAATAACAAAAGCCAAACGTTCCACCATGCACTTATTGAGAGGATAGCAAATATGTAGTATCAAATCATATCATGACTGCTTAAGAGATTTTTTTTTAAATTAATTATTTCCTTAAGTGTTATCAATGTTTGTCTAACTAGTTATTGCAATTTGATGAAATGTTTGTTGAATTAACTTATTAAATAATAATCCTGTTGAATATCTACCTTTCATTAATTTAGACATTGTCAGAGACAAAGAAAACAGTATTTTCTTAACTCCACGTTTCACTAACACTACACTGCTTTTTGTTCGTCTCATTCGTCCGATTTTTATTTTCTATTAAAAAAATGGGTGCGTACAAAGTACACATGTCAGAATTTAAACTTCTTTCTTCTTCTTCTTTTTCTTAAAGTGCCTCTCCACTACTGGAGGTTAGCGGTCAGCTCGTCAAACTCCTTCTTATTTTTCGCCAAGCGCATCAGCTGTTCTACGCTGGCCACTCCCGTCCATTCTCTAATATTGCGGAGCCACGACTTCCTCCTTCTGCCAGCGCGTCTTTTCCCCTCGACCTTGCCCATCATGATTACTTGAAGAAGTCGGTACCGTTCGTGTCGAAACACATGTCCCAAGTAACTTATCTTCTTCTTTTTAATGTTCAACGTGAGTTCTCGGGATCGTTTGACGCGCCGTAGAACTTCTTCGTTCGTGACTCTATAGACCCAGCCTATCCTCAGCATTCTTCGGTAACACCACATTTCAAAGGCGTCAAGTTTCTTAATGGTTGCCTCCTTCAAGGTCCAGGTAAACTTCTTTGGCAAACTAATTTTTGTTTCTTAATGGTTGCCTCCTTCAAGGTCCAGGTAAACTTCTTTGGCAAACTAATTTTTAAGTCTTGTTCATATAAATTATACCAAACTAAACCTTTAGATTTCCGAGACTTAGAGGGAGGGAAAAAGTACGTGGCAGTGGCAGAAGTAAATATGTGGCATTTTAATTTACATTTCGTTATTTGATATTTCAATAAATTATTTTGCATAAAATATAAAATACTAATATTTCATAAATTCTCTTTACGAAATTTTAGTTTTAAAAATAGAATTTCTTTAAGGTAATTCGCCTTTCTCACTCTCTCCTAATTGGTCTCAATCGCTCTCTCCCTTCTTCTTCCTTCTTCGACAAAAACGCTGCACATCTTCGTGACGTTTTCGTAAAAATTTACAATTATGCGCCTAAAGAAGTTTTACTTCAAAAATGAAATAACTATAGGCAACCGAAACGGTACTTTAGTTCATGTTTTATATTCAAGTCGATTTAGTGTGTACAAAGTTTTTGCATATAATAATCATAACGATTTCTTACTTGATTCCATTCGTACTAGTACTGGCGCTATCTTCGGGAAGCTCCTTTGGGTCTTGGGGAGAGGGTAATTCAGCTGGACTCACAAGCGAGGAATTCTCGTTCTGAAAAAAGAGTTAAATAAACCTTTGGACGGATATAAACCCGAATTGATTGCCTTTTCTATTTCGGGGAAGCTGCTAAACAACAATCGTCAGATAGAGGTCAAAATTAATAAGCATGATACGCGTTTAAATTCGTGTTATTAGTGTATTAGTAGCGTACACCAAAATCTTTTAGCTGGTCACCCCAGAGCTGGTGCTTTCCTCTCTCAACGAATAAGTATCGCAATACAGTGAGGAAATGCTGCCAGCGTTAAAGGTACACTGTCACAGTAAGCAATTTTTATCTATTTATTAAAAAATAAAAAAGTGAGTGCGTTTGTATGTACACATGTCAGAAGTGAAACCTCTTTGTTCAATTTTATATATTTAAACTGTTTACACGCTTAATACGTGCGAATTACAATATAAATAAATACAAAATCTGCGTTTACTGCACAAGACGTTATGCGATAGTATTGCCATCTCAAGTTCTAATAAGTATGTAAGTACTAAACGAATACATCAACCAATAGCGTGTATTTTTTCTCCATCTCCCTTACTCTCTCTCTCTCAATATTTCTCAGTATAGCTCTCTCCCACCTCTCGCTCCATGCTACGTTCGACCTATCTCACTCTCTCTCAATCGGTCTCAATCGCTCTCTCTCTTTACTTCGACAAAAACGCAGCACATTTTCGTGACGCTCATATTATTATTATTGCATTTCATCCGTAAAAATGCGTCTAAAGAAGTTTCACTTCGAAAATAAAATTATATATTTTTTTCTGATAAATTCTAAGACGCATTGATCATTTGAATATATATTTAATATAAAGGAAGAATAACAAAACTATTATATTACCAGAGTTTTTTATATTATGTTTTAAAAATTTTTTAGTTAGGTAAATTAAATATATCTATTTGCTGGTAATTTGTGTTATAATCTAAAGGTATACGATATTTACGTAAATAGTTTGTATTAGACCGAGGAATTTGAAATAGTTGGCTTTGCCTTGTATTGTATGAAGATATAGTATGCATGTATGTTATTATTACCTGGTCGGTCCTAGATAAATCGATGTCTGCGTCTAATTCACCGGCCGGCTGTGTTGTCGACTGCATTCATCTAAAATTAAAATATACTATTTAGTTTTGAGACAAAGTCATTATAAGCAATAACTTAACAAGGGAGTCTTCAAGCGGACTACACCGTGCAAGGCCTGAGTGCATACAGACGCACCCATTTACTGTTGAAGCAAGGTCCCCGGTCATTCAAGGTTCGGCTACAGATTCGGTCGGTGGCAGGGTTCACGGAAGGATGTGACGCAAGCTGTGTCAGCCTGGTATTGGGTAACCTATACCTTATCCAATTCTCTATAAATTCCAATGTCTTTTGTATGCAATTGAAGCTCTCCGAAGATTACATCGCATCTACGTACGTAATTCAACATCGAAATCATCGATTCAGATTTCTGTGAATATTTAGACATCATTTTAATACGCAAGTAGGTGATCAGCCTTCTGTGCCTGACACACGCCCTAAGCTCCTAAATCCAGTAGCGCTGCAAACCCTTACGGGTCTTGGCCTCAGATTGCATACGTTTCTTTGATCATATTTATTTTATAGTAGGTGATCAGCTTTCTGTGCCTGACACACCATCGACTTTTTAGGTCTACGGCACCTCGGTCGGTCTCCTCACGATGTCTTCCTTTACCTTACGAGCAATAATTGCGCACTTAAGACCCTCAGAAAACCTTCAGGGTTGAGAGGTGCACTCTCAAACCAGGCCAACACTGCTCTACTACCATGTCCAACTCACCAGAGACTTCCTCCTCGGGTATCGCCTTCGCCCGTTTATCAGTCGCTCGCCGCCTAACCAACTCAGCAATAACTCCATGCAGTTCAGCGAGTCTTGCATCGTGAGCTCTCGCCGCACTGGCCGCGCGTTGACGCTCATTCGCCAACGCACGCACCAGCGCGTCACGTTCCGCACGGAGGGTGGAGACATCTTCCACCCGACCGCTGCTTTGGGTTGCCAACTGTAAAAAAGATTGAAATTACGTATATATGTCAGGTAATGCTCGGATTATAAGGAAATGTCCTGATCGGGTCAATTGGCCGTTGATTTTTATTGTTGCTTTCAATCATTGAGATTCCTATATGAATAATTTATCTTGATATAATTTGTTTTGTTATTATTAACTTTATTGAATTTACTAATACTTTGGAATTACTACTGAAACAAAAAGACTTTGGACCAGTGTTGCCAGATCAGAGGATTTTCCCCTAGATTTAGGGGTTTCTCAACCGAGTTAGGGGCAGACTAGGGGGAAAGAATATTTGGGGTTTTTTAGGGGAAATTTCAAAAACACGCCAAATACAGTTTTTTTGGTATTGTATATCCCGTTCCTGATTTTGGAACTAAAATGAAGTACGATCTGGTACGAGACTGGTCAATAGGATCTCTAGTGCAATCGGACATTCGATAGGTCCCCCTCTGACGAGATTGTAACTTGAAATACCAATTAGAATATTAACCTTAGATAAGAGCGCCAACTATGACACCCGTATGTCGAAATCCAATGCATGTTTGACGCTCATACGTAATATGTAATACACACTAACTTAAAATTCGTATCCCTTATTAAATCCACTTATCAATTATAAAATAATCTTGCTCGTAGTTGTGTGGCTTTGGATAAGAAAAGTAAGATAATTCCTGACTTCTAAGCAATTTTCGCATCACACGTGTCAGATTAGTAGACTCTCTTTTTCGATATATACTTAATAAATTTGTATTTCAGAAGCCGAAGGTTTTTACCTACTTACACGGCATCACATCACGTAACCAATTTTGTTGCTACGTAATCTTTTTAAAACTTCACAATCTATTAACACGTGGAACATATAAAACCTCTTTTGCATTTGAAGTAAAAAGCTTAGTTTTTTATTGTTCCATTTTTGAATTTTGTTTTCTTTCGTCTATTCCGTTCCATTTTTAATTTATGTGGTATATTAACATACAAAGTACAGAGCACAGTGGCATACAGATAAGTGTACTATATACGGCGACACAATGTCTACTGAATCGCAAGGTTTACCGCTAATACATTATGTATGCAGCTCATGCAGCTATTTAAAAAGCAGCGAGGCCTTTGATATTCAACGCTCATCATTAATTAGCTACAGGCTTATTTCTTACGACAACTTTGCTTGAAATGAAGATAAAAAGCTGCCATGTTCTTATATGTACACGTTAATGGTACATACTTTAAACATTTTGTTGGTTACAGATATTAATGATTTAAGAAAAAGCTCTACAAAGGTCAGTTTATTAGTAATCAATCAAATACACAGTATTTGCAATTTTCTTAACCTACATAGTAATAATAAAAAAAATAAAAAAACCTTAAAGGAAAATTAAAACAAATTTAAAAAGTTTGATCCCTGTGGCAGTGTAACATTAACGCTGGCATTTCCTCGCTGTATAGCAGCAATACTTATTCGTTGAGCGAGAAAAGCACCAGCTCTGGGGTCACCGGTACTATCTGCCATATTATATAAAATAAATATCAAAGTATATATTAGGACACTCGATCATTGTGTGCACCAATTCAGGTAAGATATAGGTTAATTTACTCTAATTTAATGTACTCGTACATTTTTAACATTGTTCAACATCTGGAAAGTCCAGCTGTAGTTTTTTATGTCAGCTTTAGAGTAAGACTCTTTTTTATAAATCGTTTATTCTTCTGTATCGCCCCAGATCAATTCTTAAAATATATGTTCCGTTCTATTTCGCATAATGCTGTCTTCCAATAGAAGTGGAGTAAAGACAGTTCTTAGTTGTTACTTGTTACCAAATATCCATTCAAAAGCTATTAGGCTTTTGCATTAACTAATTAGTTTTTTAACTTGATGAATTTACCAATGCTTCTTGGATCTAAAAGCTCTGTTCGAGGTATGGCATGAAGGCAGATCCAGGCAGCTGCCTCTTCCTAGGGAATCGAATCCAGAAAATCAAATGGCGCTACCATTATTTGAGTGAGGGCCTCGGATTTTTATATCTGTTTCGTGATATGTCTTTTTTTTTTCTCGCAATGTTTTCCTTCGAAAAAGCGAGTGTTATATGCATGCGAACAGAGACAGAAAGTCAAGGATGAGAGCCATTAGACCATCACTGTATAAAATCGAATACCCTTTTCAATTTAAATCAATAAAGCTTTTTATAAATTTGATGATTATTCATTAGATCCTAATCCTTGGGATTGAGTTGCTCCAGTTCCAACAATTTGTAGTGGCGGAGAGTTTCTTGCCAGTTCTTCTTGCCCGCTCTACGCCATTGACTTGGAACTGGTAGTAAATGTAAATTTAGAATCAATTTAACATCTTTTCTGTTGACGTTCATAATACTTTGAAACCTATATGAATCAAGTTATAAAAAAAAAATTAATTAAGTAATTAACATTAAATTAATTGTCAAAATTTATTTTTATTGCTTAATACCACGTAACATATTTTGTTTACTACCACGTGTACCTACTTCTACTGGCCCCTTGTCTTCCTTAAAATAGGATGGCGCGTAAGTTCCCATGTCATCAATACGCTATTTTACGTCAAATTTCGAACATGATGCCTATAGCGTGGTTTTTATTAATTTTTTTGCTTATATAACGACTAGTCGTGCTTCTGAATTAATATACGATAATCTATTTCACTGTTTGAGAATTTCCAGCCCCTCAAAGAATTTATTAATGAGGGAGCACGCGCGATAGTTCAACGTGCACCGTATACCTACTGTGCATAATTGACATTAACACATACTTGTCAAAATTCGTATTAAGTTTTGGCTTTTCTATCACAGGAACTAATTAAAGATTTAAGTTGGCGTCCGGTAGACCAGTAACCCCAGAGCTGGCGCTTTCCCTGGTCAACGAATAAGTATCGCAATACTGCGAGGAAATCTTGCCATTATTTGTCAGTGTACCTTTCACTGCCACTGATCAAACTTTGTTTTACCTTTCTATTTATCCATTTTAAGTTATTATTATTTTTAGAGGTTAAGATAATTGTAATTATACTCTATTTGTGTGTTAACAATTATGTATACTTACTATAAATATATTTGTGTTGTTGATTTTTGAATAAAACGATTCGCATATAGAAAATGTCTGTGTGTTATGTAATCTAACTAAATTACATACATTTAGTGAATAAAGAGCAATTCATACCAAAAGTTAACGATTAGCTTGCCCACAATAAATTCTACAAAGTCAGTTTTGGTTGTAATAGCCACCTTAGTTTATAGTTATATCTATATATATAAAAGAAAAATGGTCTTCGTTTGAGGCTCCTTCACGCCTAAACCACTGATCGTATCGACATGAAACCACCATTCGATGCGAAATTTTTCCTAGATGGTTTATGGCTATTTATTTATTAAATTCCAACGTTCCTTCATTTTTTTATTGCTGTTTTACTTTTATGAAAATTTATCCATACGGACTTCACCGCGGAAACATTCGGGGAGGCTTAGAACCTCTAAACGTCAACATCTGTTAAAAACTCGATTTTCGAAATATTTCAATTTTCTTAGCGGGAAGTTAAAAAGAAGAATAATAAAAATATGAAAAAAATAAAATAATGAAACATAAAATTTATTTTAATTCGTCCAGCAAAGCGGGCGCGAAACGGCTAGTCATACATATATAAGAAACATTTCCGATCTATAAACTTTATTCGTCATATGAAAAACAGTCACACTTAGTTTTAAGTTTAAGTTTTAAGAAATGATATCTCAAGTTATAGTTTGTTGTTAGTCCAACGTCGCAAGTCGCAACCCCACTACCCCTTATTTTATGTTAGCTATAAGCTTTTATTTGAACTACGTATATTAAAGATAGTTGACACTTACCTTTGAACAATGTTTTCATTTATTTGAATATCCCACAACCGCCACCGAACTAAGCTGACGTGATCAATGCCTTCTTTGAATAATTCGTATACTATAAATTAAATTAAATTATAATATACGCTACATACCATATGTATCCCATTTTGTCCAGGCGCTGGTGGCGCAGTTACAGGCCTCAAACTGGAATACCTCCACGACGATTCCCTTGACATCTCTTCTTCCCCCATATTCGGACAGCACAAGTACCAGCTTCTACTTCTCCTAACACCCGGAGTGGACTCCAATTGAGTGAGAGGTACCCTTCCAACAACCTGCAGTTCAGCGAGCAGTGGTTCTTTCTCCTTCGGTTCAGGCATGGGAAAGGTTCCAGCAGTAGAATATGTCTCCTCTTTTCTATCTCGCGGGTCTTTGGCATCATTGAAAATCTCGTTTGTGTCCACATACTCGGAGAATTCATTAGGATCAATCTGCGCAGCGGTTGGTCGGCTGATCGGGCAGTGTCCGCTTTGACGGACATATTCTAATTCTTTTGCACCAGTCTGCCGATCGGTCGGCCGAATGACTCGATCATGTTCATTCTGTCGTATGTACTCTGAAAAGTCATTTGGAAGTTTCTCCCGATCGGTTTGCCGATTGATCGGGCAATCTTGTACATTCTGGCGTAGGTCTGATAAATCATGGTTGGGCCGATCAGTTTGTCGACCAATCGTGCGATCGTGTTCATTCTGGCGCTTTATCTTCTCCAAGTCAGCATAGTAATAAGCGGTGGAGCGCGGAGGCTCACCGCTTTGCGTTTTCCCAGCCAGAATTGTTTATTTATTTGCTTTTTCAAACACTTAACTCGCATAATAAAGTCCGATTTAACAGTCACATTTTTCTTAATTATAGAACAAATAAGTTGAAGGACCTAGAAGCATTTAATGTAAATAACATTCATTGTTAATGTGATAATTACTTTTCGAGAGCTGAGATGACGCTTTTGACTACTAGAATACCACCGAGTGAAATACATCATGAATTAAGTCAAACAACTAAACTGTCGTAAAGCCCATCCAATTTGTCGGCATAGACCAAATCGTTGTAATGTTGTATACTTGTATACTTTCAAACATAGTTTAGTTTGCAGTTTGCGGAGGCTCTTATAATAAGAAAAGCTTCGATATATAATAGTTTTTGTATTAATTTTAGCAAATATTCAAGTATCTTACAGATTTTTCACCTAACACCTGCTAGTAAATCCCGAAGGGCGAGAAAAGCAATAACATTGCAATTTTTTCACCGTTTTCAGTAATTTCCCGCAACGTGAAGTTAAAAGCTTTTAAATGCATCACTGTTTGTACTCTGTGGTAAACTGTTTGCTTTGTGAAAACGAAAGCAGTCTGTATCTAAGTGTCTATTATCTAGTTTTACCGCCATGTCAAATTTTACATAGATTTTTTGATTTTATAATGTTTATAACCTTGTATACACCAATTTATATTATGCTAAGTGTATCATTGATTAAAGGCAAGTACGTTAATATATAAACAATTTTGTTGCATTTCAAAACTACGTACTAGTCAAAATCAATAGTATTTTTCATTACTAGTGCAGAAAGACTATCATTGCAAAGAGTTCCGAAAAATTTCTACCCGAGCCGGGGCGCACCCGAAGGTGAGGGAACAAATTTTTTTTGGAAATGGCGCCAACCGTAAAAGAATATAAGCAGAGTTTTTTTTTTCTTCACCCGTTCTGGGTAGGCAAAGGGAACTATGCCCATACAGCCAAGTCTTCAGTTTTAATGATATGAAATGAAAATGAGATGTAATGAAATGAAATGAAACCTAACCTAACTTATTGAATCAAATCATTAAATCTGATATTGAAACAAGTAGCTTCTTTTTAGAAATATTTGCATGAATCATAAAAAATTCTGACTTTATTTTAGTAAAAACTTCGTGGTTGGTTTTTTTCTTTTTTAAAGACATTATGTTGACAGTTGGGAAAGAATACGCACTAGTTCGGAAATGGTAAAGAAAAAGCACGAGTGTGTAATAGCCCACATCCCGAACGCTATACGTCCCTGCAATACGCCACTTTTTCAGCAACTGTATTAAATAGTATATTTCATTACAAGTGCGGAAAGCCTGTCATTGCAAAGAGTTTCGACAAATGTCTACCCGAGCCGAGGCGCAGCCGAAGGTGAGGGTTGACAGTCGGAACAAGTTGCAATGACGGTTCCGCACGTGTACTGAACAACTATTTTTAATACAGTTGCGAAAAAATTATGCAATTTAATAAAATAATAAAAAAACAATAAACTCAACTCACTAATCATTTATTTCTTATACAAATTATTGTTCACATATACATTGGTACAGTTTTTTATACTAACTGGAGAAGTTTTAGGTTGCATATTTATTTACTGTTTGAGACAAACTATTATTTATTTCGTATGATTTTTCATGTATATTTAATATATAATATAACAAACAACTAAACGCGCAAAGAACATTTTTGGGAAAATGGCGCCAACCGTAAAAGAATATAAGCAGATTTTTTTTTTCTTCACCCATTCTGGGTAGGCAAAGGGAAATATGCCCATACAGCCAAGTCTTCAGTACAATTTTTTATTGATATGAAATTTAAGGAGATGAAATGAAATCTAACCTAATTCATTGAATCAAATCATTAAATGTTATATTGAAACAAAGCAGTAGCTTCTTTTTAGAAATATTTGCATGAATCATAAAAATTTCTATGATTTTTTTTTAGTAAAAACTTCGTGGTTGGTTTTTCTTTTTAATAGACATTATTTTGACAGTTGGGAAAGAAAACGCACTAGTTCGGAAAAGGTAAAAAAAAAGCACGAGTGTGTAATAGCCCACATTCCGAACGCTATACGTCCCTGCAATACGCCACTTTTTGAGCAACTGTATTAAAAAATATATTTTTGACGTCCAGTCAGACATAGCGTTACGTTTTGTTTCGGATTCTTATCCCTACTGTGCACCCATAGACTCTTTATGTGAGAATTTCTCACATAACTCAACTTGGCTATACGGTAAACGTATAAACGTTGTTGTAGCAACGTCCCCCAATTCTTAATCCCTTCCGTTTTAACAGAAACCTTTCTTGCAACAGCTCTTAAGCACAATGGTAGCAACTACGTCAATCAAAGCAAGACAGACACAACAATTATTAATGTACACCCTTACACACAATTGTGTTAGCGACTGAAAAAACTAATGAGAGAAAATTCTCTTAAGAAAAAATATCAATACTTTTTACAACAATACAACGCGCAAGCTGAAACCATAAGGATTCATGACATAACATTTTAATGACGTCAGGACCTGTACAAAGATCCAGCTTGGGAATTACTACAAACTCAAAAAATATTTTCGTCTATTTTTTCTGAAGTAATATTTTATTGGTCACACTGATACTTCTTGCCTCCAAATCTCGGACTTAGACATATTTAGTGAGTGACTCTAGCCGACCACGACTGCTTTAAAACCCTGGAAGCGTTTATATTGGTTAAAAGAATCCTTTGTTTTAGAAAAGAAAATAGTTACCCGTGGTAACTATTTTTTTTTATAAAACAAAGGGCTAACAATACTGCCCATAGACACTCCTTTTAATAATTAGTACGCTCTTTATCTTAAAGCAACCAAGTCGAATTGGTTCCGAAATACTTCAGTGCGCAGCCGGTTCCACATAATGCTCTCGAATCATATAAAATATTAAACAAATAATCAGTTGCACATGAACAATTTAGAGAAACGCGATTATTTATTAATGTTTCTCTCTGTCTTGATGTTTCGTAATAAATAAATGTAAAATGTGATTAGTAACTTGTTTGATCGCCCACGTCTTCTATACAAGACAGTATTAAAATTTTAACATTACAATCAATTTGTTGACCTATGTAAATAATTATCTAATCATAACAATCAAATATACAGTTTATACGATTCTTAACCTACATAGTAATTATAAAAATAGTTAATAATTAATGAGATAGATAGATAGATAGATAGATAATACCGGTGACCTCAGAGCTGGTGCTTTCCTCGCTCAACGAATAAGTAGATATCGTAATACAGTGAGGAAATGCTGCCAGCGTTAATGGTACACGCCACAGGTACCAAACTTTTTAAAATTGTGTTAATTTTCTTTTTATTAATTAATTATTTTTAATAATTCTTACATGCTGTTTAAAAGTACATTTGTTCGTGCAAATGATTTTATAATCAGTCTCTTGTTACTGATACGGAAGCCTTATAAAGGGAGGAATAAACTTATAACTAGTTTTAGTTTGCTTTTCATTAAAATGATTTTATTTGTATTTATTGTTTTAGTATGATATGTTGAAGTACGCGATCGACGCTTTTTTGGCGTGTATTTTTTTTATAAAATTAATATCGGCCCAAATACAAGTCTTACCTCCAAGATTTTGTTTGTGAGTAGAGACTCTTGGGCCGTGAGGTTCAAGTGCACAGGCGGTAATTAAATAATTAAGATGGGGCCTGGTAGACAGTACCTACCCCAGAGTTCGTGCTTTCCTCGGTCGACGAATAGCTATCTTAATACAGTGAGGAAATGCTGCCAGCATTAAAGATACACTGCCACAGGGACCAAACTTTTTAAATTTGTTTTAATTTTCTAATTATTTTTTTATTATTATTACTATGTTTTTTACTATTATTTTTATTACTTTTATTATTATTACCTTAAGAATATTGTAAATACTGTATATTTGTGTATCTTTTTATAAGACATAAACCTATCATGACGAAATAATTTATACTCTTGGGTATTCGTAGAACGGCCTTACGCAGATGGTATATAATCCCTTTCAAATAGATGAAAAGATGTATTCTTGGTTTAGTAGTCTATGTAATAAGAGAAGTTTTTTTAAATTGAGTATCGCTACTAATATATTCGAGTTTCTAGTTCGAAACTACATACAAATGAAACAATACACTAAATAATATCAAAGCAATGTAATAGACAAAGTCAACGACGTGTGTCAGGCACAGGAGGCTGCGCACCAACTTGCCTATTAGATTGACAAATTATCATGAAACAGATATTTGGGGCTCAAACCTTAAACATTCCCCGACTGTTTTATTTCATTTTTATTTTACTTGCATTATATCATACGAATCGTATTAAACCCCCTCCGCCTGTTTCTAAATTTTGAGAGTGGGAAGGGGGTAAGCTAACATCGATAACCATTCAAGTTTTAACATTTTTTATATGTACCGTCGCGTCGGTCCATAGCATTACATAGCATTTTTAACAGCCTTTTTATTACTGACGAACTTGCCGCTCTGGGATCTCAGTAAAATATTAATTGTTTCGGATATAA